TAGACTATCTTAATTTTCTTATTTCCCTTTTCCTATAATACTTTATAAAATAAAATAATTTAAAGATAATTTTATTTCTAATTTTTAGAAAATAAGGGGAACGAACTCTAATCTCTTAACTTGTATGTTCAAGAAAATAAATGAGTTAAGCCCTTCAAAAATCGAAACATAATGCATGCAGTCCCATAGGTCTTAATATAAACTCCATTGCGACTTTGTCATCGACCTGCTAATGTAATTAAAGCTTTTTAATTTTTTCAAACTTGATAAAGCAAATCCTTTAGAGAATAGATTATTATTATTATTACTTATTTTTAACGTGGTCAATTTATTACAACTAAGAAAAGGAAAAAAGTAATAAAGGGGTTGGTGGGCTTCTTACACAGTCTCACTAGGTGAATTACAACTGCGTCTATGCCGTGAATTTCCTTCGAATAATAGGTTAAAATAAAATGTGGATGTGGCCTGCAGGTATTTTAGTAATAAGCACAGGACATTGATCACATCAAAAAAGAAATAATACTATAATTGAGGACATGATATATCGATACAACGAAACCTAACCTATGGTGAGTTTATGGTCGAAATCCCCCTTCTCTCACAGTCCCACCAACCACGCCTTCCTCTCTCTCACTTTCCCCCTACCTCTAACCTCAGCCACCTCACCTTTTATCGGCAATGGTCAAATTCAATCACCCAACCCAATCCCCAATGCCCCCATTCTCTACCCTTGGATCATTTCTCAATCAACGGCTCTAATCCACTCTCAACCAACCCTGCCATCTTCCTTCTGCCCCCCTATGCTCACCTACCATCCCACTGACTTCTTCCGCCCATTTCCTCCCTATTTATACACCTTCCCTTCCTCTCCCCTCTCTCAGGTAGGAAAAGCAAAACCCACAATTCCCCTATCCAGTCTATAATCTATATATTATATATCCCTCCTTTTCCTTCCAGCAATCCAATCTTAATTTTATTACTGTCTTTGAAGATATGGCGAGTGACATGATGGTTGAGAATGGAAATGGGAACAGCTTGCCAAATGACTCTTTCTGCATTAGCCGTGACCCGCTCAACTGGGGCAGTGTGGCAGAATCACTCAGTGGAAGCCATTTGGATGAAGTGAAACGTATGGTGGCTGAGTATCAGAAGCCGTTGGTGAAGCTCGGTGGCGAGACCTTGACCATATCACAAGTTGCCGCTATAGCTACGCGTGAATCGGTTGTCAAGGTGGAGTTGTCAGAGGCCGCCCGTGCCGGTGTCAAGGCTAGCAGTGACTGGGTCATGAACAGCATGGATAAAGGGACAGATAGTTACGGTGTAACTACCGGGTTTGGCGCCACTTCTCATAGACGGACCAAACAAGGTGGTGCCTTGCAAAAGGAACTTATCAGGTACAAACAAAATGAAACCCAAAAAAAATTTATTTCTAAATTTCCTTTCTGGCATGCAACTGTGCCGAGTTAGTTACTTTAGGCATAAATTTTAATTTTTTATTAGGTAAGACGTATAAAAAAATGATAAATGAAATTTCATCGTTTTACCTAAATCAGCTGGATTTTTTTTTTTTTTTTTCAGATTTTTGAATGCTGGTATCTTCGGAAATGGGACAGAGTCATGCCACTCCCTGCCACACAGTGCCACCAGAGCTGCCATGCTGGTCAGGATCAACACTCTCCTCCAGGGTTACTCTGGTATCAGATATGAAATTCTAGAGGCAATCGCTAAGCTTCTCAACCACCACATCACTCCATGTTTGCCACTCCGCGGCACAATCACCGCCTCTGGTGATCTTGTTCCTCTGTCCTACATAGCCGGATTGCTCACCGGTAGGCCTAATTCCAAGTCTGTGGGACCAAATGGAGAATCCCTCACTGCCCAGGAAGCCTTTCAGTTAGCCGGAATCGAATCCGGGTTTTTCGAATTGCAGCCTAAAGAAGGGCTTGCTTTAGTCAACGGGACCGCAGTTGGGTCTGGTTTAGCCTCAATTGTCCTTTACGAAACAAACATACTTGCTGTCTTATCTGAGATCCTCTCTGCAATTTTCGCTGAAGTAATGAACGGAAAACCGGAATTCACCGACCATCTGACTCATAAATTGAAGCACCACCCCGGCCAAATTGAAGCAGCGGCAATAATGGAACATATTCTCAACGGTAGCGCTTATGTTAAAGCAGCCAAGAAATTGCACGAAATGGATCCCCTGCAGAAACCGAAGCAGGATCGCTATGCTCTGAGGACATCTCCACAATGGCTCGGCCCCCAGATTGAAGTGATCCGATTCGCAACAAAATCAATTGAAAGAGAAATTAATTCTGTTAACGACAACCCTCTGATCGATGTTTCTAGAAACAAGGCTTTGCACGGTGGCAACTTCCAGGGTACCCCGATCGGAGTCTCCATGGACAATTCCCGCCTGGCAATTGCATCTATCGGGAAATTGATGTTTGCCCAATTCTCGGAGCTTGTGAACGATTTTTACAACAACGGGCTTCCGTCGAATCTGTCCGGTGGCCGGGATCCTAGCTTGGATTACGGATTCAAGGGTGCTGAAATCGCAATGGCCTCGTACTGTTCGGAGCTCCAATATTTGGCAAATCCAGTCACCAGCCATGTCCAGAGCGCGGAACAGCACAACCAAGATGTCAATTCTTTGGGGTTGATCTCCTCCAGGAAAACTGCAGAGGCCGTTGATATCTTGAAATTGATGTCTTCCACTTTCCTTGTGGCACTCTGCCAAGCCATTGATTTGAGGCATTTAGAAGAGAATCTGAAGAACACAGTGAAGAACACCGTAAGTCAGGTGGCCAAGAAAGTCCTAACCACCGGCGCTAACGGCGAACTCCACCCTTCAAGATTCTGCGAGAAGGATTTACTCAAAGTGGTGGACCGCGAACACGTGTTCGCCTACATTGACGAGCCCTGCAGCGCCACCTACCCACTACACCAGAAACTCCGCCAAGTCCTCGTCGATCACGCCTTGTCCAATGGCGAGAAGGAGAAGAATGCAAACACCTCAATCTTCCAAAAGATCGAAGCTTTTGAGGAAGAACTGAAGACCCTTTTGCCTAGAGAGGTGGAGAATACCAGAGTGTTGTATGAAACCGGAAATCCGGCGATCCCCAACAGGATTAAGGAATGCAGGTCTTATCCCCTGTACAAGCTTGTGAGGGAAGAGTTGGGAACTGGGCTTTTGACCGGAGAAAAGGTGAGGTCCCCCGGCGAGGAGTTCGATAAGGTTTTCACGGCGATCTGTGAGGGGAAGATCGTCCAGCCCATGCTGGATTGTCTGAAGGAATGGAATGGCGCTCCTCTTCCACTCTGCTAGTTTCATTTCGTTTGCTATGATTTCAATTTTAAATTTTTTTTTTTTTTTTTGTGTTTAGTTACCATATAGTTTGTTTAAATATTTGGGTTAAAGCCAACTATCATCCCTCTTCTTTTTGAAAAGGTTCAATTTAACCCTTCTACTATGAAATCACATCAGGTCGTCCCTTTACTTCAGTTTGAGCTCACATGTCTTCCCTCTACCATTCATTCCATGGCTAAGACCGTCACTTTTTACCGCTAAAGCCTAACAGTTTGGCTAACACCATAACTTTTCTCCAATTTGGCTATCGTCAGTAATGCTACATCATACTCTATATTAATATCATTTTACATAAATATTTTATCAACTTTTTTTTCAGTTATTACCCACGTTTTATTTATCTCTTTTTATTTATTTTTTTAGTTGATTCAATTAAAGAGATATTTTTCAAAATTACATAGGTAATCAAGTAAATTTAATTTTTTTTAAAAAGAAATAGATAAAAATTTTTGAATTTTACTAAGGTTTAAAAATTATAACTAGAAAAAAAAAAAAGATTCCTAATGCTTGTTACTATCCCTTTAATTATAAACTTTAGGGAGTCCAAAGTGAGTTCACAATTTACAATTATATTCATGTACATAAGTAGGTTAAATGAGTACATAAGTACAATATTTGTTTATATTTTTATTTAATTTAAAAATTAATAAATATAAAACTTTAACACACAGTATCTATTCAGATATTAAGAGTCTATTATTATTATTTAACTCGTTGAGTGTATGTATATTTGCATATGTGTTTATATATTTGTTAAATATTATAATCTTGTAATACAAATTAAAATGTAATTAAACATATTGCAAAACATATACTCTACTTCATATATAATATATAAGCATAATTTTCTTTAAATACATTAATTTAATGTGAGAGATGTGCCCTTAAAATAATCCAAATAAGGATTAGTTTGGAGATGCAAGAAATTTAGTTTGGAAACATCTTAATTATAAATAAAAAAAGAAAAAGAAAATCCATATACATAAAAAAAATATGACATTATACTTATAATAAAGTACATAATTAAGTTGGAATACAAATACAAAAGGTAGGAAAAGATACTAATTAAGGATGTAGTGCTTTATTTCATATATATCAACTTTTATTTATTCATTTTAGGAGACAAATGTTTTTTGAATTTATCTTAAAATAATAATTTTTTTAAAGTTTAAAAAAATATATATTTTAGGGGTTATTTTAAAAGTATACCTCTTATATGGAACTGGTGCATTCAAAGAAACTTATATTTGTATATTATGTATGAATTAAAGTATATGTTTTGCAACATATTTAATTATATTTTAATTTTTATTAAAAGGTTATAATATTTAGCAAATATATAAGTATATTTGCAAGTATACCACATGTACTTAACAAGTTAAATGGTAAGATTAGGCTTTTAATACTCAAATAAATACTAAATATCAACATTTTATATCTATTAATTTTTAAATTAAATACAAATATAAACAAATACTTTAGTTATGTACTTGCTTAACCCATTTATACACATGAATAGAATCACAAATTGTGAGTTTACCTTAGATTACCCAAAATTTACAATTAAAGAAATAGCAATAGGCATTATGGAATTTTATTTTTCTAGTTATAATTTTTTTGAACCTTAATAAAATTCAAAATTTTTTATTTATTACTTTTTAAAAAAAATTAAATTCACTTGATTACCAACATAGGTTTAAAAAATATTCTTTTAATTGACTCAACTAAAAAATGGATAGAAAAAGATAAATAAACGTGGCTAATAACTGAAAAAAAAAAAAGGTTGGTAAAATATTCCTGTAGAAAGATATTAATACGGAATATGATGTGGTATTGGCGGGCTCTATTATAGCTAAATTGGATAAAAGAATAATATAGAAATATATGTCAAATGCCAAACCGTTAGGCTTTAACGGTAAAAGTGATGGTGTTAGCCAGAATGGATGGAGGGACGAAATTGATCACCTTTTGAATATTAAATGGGGGACATGTGAGGTCAAAATGAAGTAGAGGGACGACTTGAGGTGATTACATAGTAGAAGGGTTAAATTGAATTTTTTCAAAAGTATAGGAACGAGAGTTGGCTTTAACCCTAAATATTTTGGCTGTAACTATAATAATTACCACGTACTACGAAGAAGTTTGTTTGTAATATGAATGCAGTGCACGTGTTTATTGCTGTGACTTGAAGTTTTTTTAATTTAATTAAAATTACTTCATAAATCCCTTGGATTCTACATTTCTACATCATATAAGTTCATTTTCCTTCGCAAGATAATTTAATGAAGTTCGAAGATAACACCGAGCTTCTAAGATATTCTTTATTATTTTCTTGTGATTGATATATGAAAAAAATTATCATACAATTCAAATTATATTGGACTATATAATAAAATTATTAAATAAAATGTAAGTTCTTTTTATATTAAAAATAATTTTTTATTTAATTATTCATATTTTATAATTTAATATAATTTAAATTGTAAATAATAACCTTAATATATTTACACCATAAAGTGATATTAAACTATTTAAACGTTGGGTATATGCTAATTCACACTAGCTCTAGACCCAATTTGAAAATGGTAGGCTTACATTTGATCGGTGTTTGAATTTTTTAGTGTGAAGTAATTTTTTTAGTAGTTTTATTTTATTAATAAATTATTTAAATCATCAATTACGTACTCTGATATATTAAAAATTTTCTAACATATATTCTAATATATAGCATTTTTTATTAGAAGAAAATGAAGGGAAAAAGAGCAAGAAAAGGGAAAGTGACCTTATTTTAACCAATTATAAGAGTGTCATCATTTACATTACATTTGATAATTTTCTTAATGATGTTGTGTGTCTCTAATGGAGATCTAGTGATTACAGCTTTTTCCAAATTTGAGAATTCAAAAATGATCAATGGCTATAATTTGGTGCAGCACAGTCCATAATAAAAAGAAATTCTGGTGTAATGAATTTCTAACATGTAGTAGAAATGGAAAGAAGGAGATTAACTGTTTCACAAAATCAAGGAAGTTGTTGAAATATTGTTGAGTGGTTTAGTTTAGTTGAGGAAAATTAGAATCAGCTCCAATAAGCTTGATTTGAGAGATTTTTGACAATCAGAGTTCTATTTCTAGTAACTAAATGAGACGTGGCATAAATCTGTTTTGTAAAAAAGAATTCAAAACTATTGAGATTCTTTTGATTTAGTCAAGCATGACAATAGGGAAGTTGGAGAAAATCATGATCAGATCAAATTTTTTGCAACAATTTTAGTTATGAAAACCCATAAATACAAGATTTCAAGACAAAGTTTAATAAGCCCACCCTTCTCAACAACATCTACATTTTAACATGTTTTAACTCAACATTAGTTTAGTTTATATATAGCTTCTACAACGACTTTGCAACTTTTTTTTATTAGTGTTGAAGAGGTTCAACTCCATCAATGGGTTCTTTGGGTTTTTTTTTTTTTTTTTGGTTAAGTTAGCCTCAATAGTTAAATTTAATATAGTTGTTCTT